AAAAACAGACCCAACAATACTCTGCCTCTAGAAAAGACATCTCAGCTCTAAAGGCAAACATAGGCTCAGAGTTAAGGGTGACACTGCAAACAAATAGCAAGCAAAAGAAAGTGAGTGTAGCCATAATTACATCAGACAAAGCAGAATTAAAGAAAAGAAAGATAATGAGAGAAAAAGATAGACAATATATAACGATAAAAGGGAGATTCCACCAAGGAGACATACATTTATTAATATATATGCACCTAACACAGGAACACCAAAGTATATAAAGCAACTATTAACAGAACTAAAGGGAGAAATTGACACCAACACAATAGATAGAGCATCCAGACAGAAAGTCAACAAGGAAACAGTGGCCTTACATGAAACACTAGACCAGATTGACTTAAGAGATATACATAGAACATTCCATCCACAAACAGCAGAATATACATTCTTCTCAAGTGCACATGGAGCATTCTCAAAGATATACCATATGTTGGGAAACAAAGCAAGCCTCAATAAATTTAAGAAGTCTGAAATCATATCAAGCACCTTTTTCAACCACAATGCTATCAAACTAGAAGTCAACTACAAGAAAAAGCTGAGAGAGTCACAAAAACGTGGAGACTAAGCTACAAGCTACTGAACAACTTTTGGATCAGTGAAGAAATCAAAGGAGAAATAAAAAATACAAAGAGACAAATAAAAATGAAAATACAACATACCAAAACTTATGGGATGTAGAAAAACAGTATTAAGAGGGAAATTTATAACAATACAGGCCTACCTCAAGAAACAAGAAAAATCTCAAATAGACAAGCTTACCCTACACCTGAAGAACCAGAAAAAGAACAAACAAAGCCCAAAGTCAGTAGAAGAAAGGAAATAATAAAAGTCAGAGCAGGAGTGCTGGCCCAGTGGCATAATGGTTAAGTTTGCATGCTCCACTCAGCAGCCCAGGTTTCATGGGTTCTGACCCCAGGCATGGACCTACACACTGCTCATCAAGCCATGCTGTGGCAGCATCCCACATATAAAATAGAGGAAGATTGGCACAGATGTTAGCTCAGGGACAATCTTCCTCAAGATAAAAAAAAAAGAACAGGAATAATTGAAATAGAGACTGAAAAAACAATAGACAGGATCAATGAAACTAAGACCTGATTCTTTGAGAAAATAAATGAAATTGACAACTCCTTAGCCAGACTCACTAAAAAAGAAAGAGAGAAGACTCAAATAAATAAAATCAGAAGTGAAAGAGGAGAAATTACAATAGACACCACAAGATTATAAGAGAGTATTATGAAGAGCTATGCACCAACAAACTGGATAACGCAGAAGAAATGGATAAATTCTTAGAATAATACAATCTCCCAAACCTGAACCAAGAAGAAATAGAGACTCTGAATAGACCAATCACAAGCAAAGAGCTTGAAACAGTAATCTAAAACCTCTCAAAAAACAAAAGTCCAGGACCAAATGGCTTTTCTGGTGAATTCAGCCAAACACTCAAAGAAGACTTAATTCCTATCCTTCTCAAACTCTTCCAAAAACTGAAGAGGACAGGATGCTTCCTAATGCATTTTATGAGGCCAACATTACCCTGATCCCAAAACCAGACAAGGACAACACAAAAAAGGCAAATTACAGGCCAATATCGCTGATGAATATAGATGTAAAAATCCTCAACAAAATATTAGCAAATCGAATACAATACTACATTAAAAGGATCATACACCATGATCAAGTGGGATTTATTCCAGGGATGCAGGGATGGTTCAACATCTGCAAATCAATCAATGTGATACACCACATTAACAAAATGAAGAGTAAAATTCACACGATCATCTCAATAGATGTAGAGAAAGCATTTGACAAGAACTAACATCCATTTATGATAAAAATTCTAAATAAAATTGGTATAGATTCTGGTGGGCCCATGGCATAAGTGGTTAAGTTTGGTACACTGCTTCAGTGGCCCAGGTTCATGGGTTCAGATCCCAGCAGAGACCTACACCACCTTCAGCCATACTGTGGCAGCAACTCACATACAAATTAGAGGAATATTGGCACACATGTTAGCTCAGGGCTAATCTTCCTCAAGCAAAAAGAGGAAGATTGGCAACACATGTTAGCTCAGGGAAAATTTTCCTCAGCAAAAAAAAAGGGGGGGTATAGAAGGAAAGTACCTCAACATAATAAAGGCCATATTTGACAAACCCACAGCCAACATCATACTCAGTGATAAAAAACTGAAAGCCTTTCCTCTGAGAACAGGAAGAAGACAAGGGTGCCCACTCTTGCCACTCTTATTTGACGCAGTACTAGAAGTTTTAGACAGAGCAATGAGTCAAGAAAAAGAAATAAAAGGGATCAGATTGGAAAGGAAAAAGTGAAATTCTCATTATTTGTGGATGACATGACTCTATATACAGAAAACCCTAACGAAACCACCAGAAAACTATTAGAAAGAATCAACAAACACAGTAAAGTTTCAATATACAAAATCAACATACAAAAATCAGTTACATTTCTATACATTAATAACGAACTAGCAGAAAGTGAAGTTAAGAATATAAGCCCATTTAAAATTGCAACACAAAGAATAAAATATGTAGGAATAAATTTATCCAAGGAGGTGAAAGACCTATATACTGAAAACTATAAGACGTTATTGAAGGAAATCGAAGAAGACATACAGAAATGAAAAGATATTACATGCTAATTGATGGGAAAAATAAGCATAGTAAAAATTTCCATATTACCTAAAACAATCCTCAGATTCAATGAAATCCCAATCAGAATCCCAATGGCATTCTTCATGGAAATAGAACAAAAGAATCCTGAAATCTATATGGAACAACAAAAGACCCAAAATAGCCAACACAATCCCAAGGAAAAAGAACAAATTTGGAAGTATCACACTCCCTGAATTCAAATTATACAACAAAGCTGTAGTAATCAAAACAGCATGGTATTGGCAGAAAAACAGACGCCAGATCAATAGAACAGCATTGAGAACCCAGAAATAAAACCACGCGTCTATGGACAGCTCATCTTTGACAAAGAAGCCAAGAACATACAATGGAGAAAAGAAAGTCTCTTCAATAAATGGTGTTGGGAAACCTGGACAGCCACATGCAAAAGAATAAAAGTAGAGCATTATCTTACACCACACAAAAAAATTAACTCAAAATGGATTAAAGACTTGAATGTAAGATCTGAAACCATAAAACTCTTAGAAGAAAACATAGGCAGTATACTCTTTGACATCAGTCTTAGCAGCACCTTTTCGAATACCATGTCTACTCAGGCAAGGCAAACAAAAGAAAAAATAAATAAGTGGGACTTCATCAGATTAAGAAGCTTCTGAAAAGCAAAGGAAACCATCAACAAAATGAAAAGACATTCACCAACTTGGATAAAATTTTTGCAAATCATATATCCAACAAGAGGTTAATTTCCAAAATATATAAATAATTCATACAACTCAACAACAAAAAAATGAACCTGATCAAAAAATGGGCAGAGGATCTGAACAGACATTTTTCCAAAGAAGATATACAGATGGCCAACAGGCACATGAAAAGATGTTAAACATCACTAATCACTAATTATTAGGGAAGCGCAAATCAAAACTACAATGGAATATCACCTTATACCCATGAGAATGACTATAACTAACAAGAAATAAGTGTTGGAGAGGATGTGGAGAAAAGGGAACCCTCATACACTGCCGGTGGGAATGTAAACTGGCACAGCAACTATGGAAAACAGTATAGAGATTTCTCAAAAAACTAAAAATAGAAATACCATATGATCCAGCTATTCCACTACTGGGTATTATCCAAAGAACACGAAATCAACAATTTTAAAAGATTTATACACCCCTATGTTCACTGCAGCATTATTCACAGTAGCCAAGATGTGGCAGCAACCCAAGTGCCCATCAACAGATGAACAGATAAAGAAGATGTGATATATATATATATACACAATGGAATACTACTCAGCTGCAAAAAAAAAAAAGACAAAATCTTGCCATTTGAAACCACATGGATGGACCTTGAAGGTATTATGCTAAGCAAAATAAGTCGGACAGAGAAAGACAAATACCATATGATTTCACTCATATGTGGAAGGTAAACAAACAAACACATACATAAGGATAACAGATTAGTGGTTATCAGAGGAAAAGGGGTTGGGGGGAGGGTTTAAGTGGTATAGGGGTACATGTGTATGGTGACGGATAAAAACTAGACTATGGGTGGTGAACACGATGCAGTCTATACAGAAACTGAAATATAACAATGTACACCTGAAGTTTACACAATATTAAAAGGCAATATCACCTCAATAAAATTTAAAAAAAGAAGACATACTATGTAATGCAATTTACATGAAATCAAAGGAGAAAACGCTGAATTAGTATTAGAAGTCAAGATAATGGCTACCTTTTAGGGAGAAGGGGAGACAGTGATTTGAAGGGTTGCTGACAATATATTTTTTTTCTCAATGGTAATTCTATGGTGTTGACTTTGAGATATTTATTGATCTGTACGTTCATATTTTGTGCATTTATCTATGTGTGTTTATACATAAAAAGATATACTAGTTAAAAATTAACCCCCTCAAAAAAAACAAGTTGCAGAATATAATTTATAGAATGCTCCCATTAGTGTAATTGTGTATGTGTTTAGGCAAAGTTACATATGAAATCACATAGACTTCATGATACTTAGTTCCGAGAAGAGAGGAATTGGAATGGGAGTGGGTTTGAAGGAGAACTTCCAGTGTTTGCTGTTTACATCTTGTTATTATTTGAATTTTTCCATTGTGTTTTGATGGATTATTTTTTAAACAATGATAAATTAGGATGATTGAGAAAGGTTGGGAGAAAAAGAAAGAAGAAAGGGATGTATTCCTGCCAGGAACACTATAGCTTTGCTTCAAGACTCTTTAAAAAGTATAGGTGTTTGGGGCAGGCACCAAGGAGATGAGGGCAACTCACTTACCAGTAGTCTCAGGAAGGTGTCCTTGGGAGAAGAGCCAGCCCTCAGTGTAGCACGGTAGAAGGCAGGGCCTGAGTAGCTGTTTGGGACAGGCCTCCAGGGGACATAGCGGAGCCTGGAAGAAGGGCCATGCCTTGAGGGAGAGGAAAGCCCCTTCCCAACTCCAGTCCTGATATTGACCCTAGAGTTCCCATGCAGAACTAGGATTCTGATTCAGTGAGATGTTTTAGACTAAAAGCAATAAAATTGGAATCAGAAGACTTGTTCTAAAGTTCTAGTACTGATTCCAAAGCACTCTACAATCCTGAGTAAATCACTTCAGTTCTCTGAATCATGGGCTCTTCATCTGCAAAGTGAAGAGTTTGGAATCTCTAAGTCCCCTGATCGCTCAAAGGATCTATTGGGCGTTAAGTAGGAACACACCTCTTGAAGAAGCTCATTTTCATTTCCAGAGAATAGATAGTAAAACCCTCCAGGGAAATGTTATTGATGGTAACAGGTCCAGTTAATCCTGCAGGTGGGAGGTAGGAAAGAGAATATGGACAGAGACTGGATATTCTCCAGTATCTAAACAAAGAAATGCAGCCCATATATACCTTGTGACAAGGGCTCAGCCATAAAGGCAAACACTTGTCTGAGCTGCTATGATTGAAAGTTTCTTGTTGTATGTTTCCATACTACCAAGAAAGGTCCCTAGTTGGTATCAGAACTTGCCCTGAAATTCCCAAAAGGAGACTGGGCCCTGCTCTAGGACAAGCCAGGACTCAACACAATTGCACTACTTTCATACCCTGGAAAACTAGAGAAGGCAGAACAAGGGAGAAGGAAGGAGCTTGCATCTTTGGTCCCAGGACCTAGGTATCCCACTGCCTGAGGGGCTCATTTTTTTCCTTCTAATCCCCACATAATCCCAATCTTAGGATCCAAGGAAACATGAAGAGAGATTAGAGCCTGTTTCTCAGGTCTAGAGCCTACCTTTCTGCTGATTTTGAATTTTCCATGAAAAATTGACTCGTCCTTGATTCTCCACCAGGATCCTTAGAAGTTGACATTCCTACCAGGGACAGACCAGCTCATGGAGACTACAAGTCCATGTAGGGTTTTTACTCTAGAAACCATTCTTTTCTATGAGTCCCAGATGGAAAGACAAGCAAATGGGATAAAAGGAGGCTCCAGAGCCCAGCTGTCCTCCCTCTCTGTGTTCCTGTTCCATACTCAATCTTTCCTTTCCTCTTCTGGTCTGCCTTTAGGAAATGCAGAGAGATTCAGCAGTGCCTTTCAGAGAAGTCACTCAAGGGCTCAATGGGGAAGTTCCATTCACACAGAAGCATGTATGCTACAGCTCCGCTGTACCTGGGTCTGAGAGATGCTGTTCTGCTTAGAGCCCTAAACAGTTCCTGCTGCGAACCAAAGCGTCATGCTAGAGAAAAGTGGCCGTCTATTTCAGGACTAGGCTATGTTTGCCTTTGATTCAGAGGTCTAGGGCAGCACCTAGACTCTTGAATTACATACCTTGACTTCAGGAATCTTCAAGTTCCGAATACTATCATCCAGTATTCCTATTGTTGTCTCATTCAAAAACACCTTCAAAAGAAGAGCAAGGATCAGATCAGAAAGGAAGAAGAGAGGCTCTGGTTTAGGGAGGAGGTCATTATGAAGGAAGTGTCTAGCCTTGGTGCTCACAGATGCCTAGAAGCTGACAGGGAGGCCCCAATAGACTTAAGTTGTGATAAAGCAGAAAGCAAGAATCTTTGGTTTGACTTTATATTCTCAATGCCTCACACACAGTAGGTGCTTAAAATTACTTTCAAATAGTAAATTTGACCAGTGAGTAACTGCCCTCCCCAATAGCAGAGTTAGGCTACACGTCTGCTTACCTCCACAGACAGCCTGCTGGCCCCTACCTGTGCTACATCTCGAACATGGGCATGAAGCTGCCCTCCAGAGCAGATGGGAGTCTCATAAAGGACTAATCCATAGGACTGACCATTTCCATTGTTTATAGGAAGATTCTCCATGCTGACTGGCATTTTAGACATGACTGGCTAGGAGAGAGACATGGCAGAAACAGGAGCCAGGGTGATGAGAAGTCGGGATACTTCTAAGAGCCTTGTCATTTTTTCTTCTACCTCCTAACTGTCCCCAAGAGTTCTTTGGATGAGAACTACTAAAACAGATGCTATGTGATCATGCTCTTGTCCTTTATGTCTCCACTGACCAAAACACTCAGAGGATGGTGGGAGCATGGTAAAGGGAACAATTGCTGTAATCATGAGAATTGACAGAGTAAATAAGTTATATTCTGAAGTGACTGAAGTTGAGCAAAGAATTATGCACTAAGTAAACATTTATTTAGCATCTACAACATGCCAGTCACTACTTTTTATCTAAAACAGCAATAGCGAGGTGAAAACAAAATGAATTCAAGAGTTAATATTTTTCAAACAATTTTCACCTTTCTCCAAAAGGGGACAAGTAATCTAATTTTAAAAGGAGAGCAGGGACGCAAAGAATTTCTGTCATTTGGCCTAGTTAATGGTGAAGAGGAGTCAGAAACTCAGCAGCCTTTCCCATTTGGATCATGCAGTCCCACACAAGAGCATTCACCAGATGGATTCATCTGAGATGGGCAATAGGATCCTCTAACATCCTGCTTCTCCCCTTATCCTGACTCACTCTTCAAGCTCAAACCCCTTCCCAGTCCACCCAGAGGAAGCTTATGGTTCTTGTCCCACAGTTCTAAATTCGGATGAAATACAGAGGATGAGTTTCCACACTTAACAAAAAGCTCTTGAAGGAATCTCTATTCCACAGTCCAAGGCCTTCTCCCCCAAGTCTCCAATGGCCACCCCCTATTCCAGTGCCCAGGCAGTACTCACCTCATCTAAGTACTGTAGGACATCCCACAGTGGCAAGTAATGGGATGATCTCGTAGAAGGATACACAGCCTTGGGAGTGAGTTCAGGTAAGGGGGGCAGGGGAACTGCTGCAATGAAAATGGGCCATGGGGCGAGAAGTGCCTGAAATAACTGCTCCGAGTTATATCTCCAATCCTCCCCTTCCCTATCCATGAGCTCTCATATCCCAGAGCCAACGAGAGAAACAGGTACCAACCCAGCACGTGGGTACACTTTCCGAAGAGCGACGAAAAAGCAATAGTGACTAAATTGGAGCCATTTTGTATGCACAGACCTCTAAGGGGTGACATTGTTCATTCAGGCGGAGGGTTCTTAGGGAGCAAGAACTGCCTTAAGCCTTTTGGCAATGCTGGTGCTTATCTACTTTCTAGTACATAGTAGATGGTTAATTAACTTCATTTAAATAGAATTAAATAGAACAATTTTTGCTTTTATATATGAGGGTATTATGTCATACAGCATACTAACAGTTTTACAAATACTAACTTACTTAATCTGCACAATCATTAAAGGGGATGAGTATCACTGTCTTAGTGTTTCAATGAAGAAACTGAGGCTTAAGGGGCTTAAAAACACTCATGCAAAATCACACAGCTTTGAAGTGGGAAACCAGGATTTGAATTTAAGATTGCGCTTGCTCTTAAGTGCTCCATTAGGCTTCTGCCCAGAGAGGGAAGGATTTCCCTCTCTCAGCCTTCCACTTCACGAGGAGGACCACCCCTCAAATTGAAATGGCTGCTGAGTACCTAAGATGGATCCAAAGAGTTTTCGAAGCTTGAAATATTTCTTTGTGTAATCCCCGGCCTCTGTGAGCACAGCATCATAGTCTGCAAGACACCAGGGCGCTGTCATAGGCCAGGTAATCCTCCACAACAGGCCCTGTTTCAGCACTTCTGCATGAAATGGGCCAGGACCACCAGAGGAGAGAGAAGACACATCTTCCCTGCCCCCTGGCCCAGTCCATCCCAGGCTGCCATGTGGGAATGCAATTTAGGGACATTAATGCCAATCTAGGGACATTCCCCACAAGCCTGCCTGAGATCTGAGGCTGTCCTGACGCTGGGCTTATCCTTCTGTGTCACTTTCTAATGGGCACTCTCTTCTTTCCTCAATCTGGACTGCCCAGCTGTGCCTAATGGTGCCCGTATGGCAATCACCACTTGCATTCTGTCTCTCTTGGAAGGTTCAAGTCAAGGGGTGCACAGTGTATGCAATGACTGAAGCAGAGCTCTAGGTCACAGGCAGCCCAGTCTAGTGCAACGACAGCCTGTGAGGGACATTACGAACATCACAGAAGAAAGGAAAATCCTCAATGCTCAGTATAGATTATAGGTCAAGAACCCAATAATGCCAGAACTTGCTTTTGGAGGCTCATCTGTGAAGCTCCAATGACACCTGTGCTGGGAGGTGACCATACGAGTGAACACTTGCCATAGCTAGTGACGACACCAGCGTGCTTCACAAAATTTATGGCCCCGTTTATGAAACCAAAGTTGGTTCCACCGTGGAACATATATACGTTGAAGGAGATCTCAAATTTGATAAATTCAGACACGGTGTTCTTAACATCTGTAGAGTAAAAAGATGAGGACGTATAGAAAATTAAAAATTAAGAGAGGACAGAAGTCTGTGGCGAAATCTTATCATTCCCAACCTGGCCCCACAATCAACTTCATTGTTTGGTCCTTCACCCTCCACTAGGATTCTAACTAGAAAATAGGTGGAATTGGCCAGAACTACTCTAGGAAACCAAGTCTTGTCAATACTAAGAGCCTTTTTAAAAATTATTTTTCCCAGAGTATGGACATAATTTGACTCTAAGCTACATGTATTAAATAATAGCCTAAGAACCTTTATGTCACTTAAATTTCTAATGTTCATTAAACTTTTTTGAAATTGTACAAATAATTAGTGTACACTTGCTACTTTCTTGGGCAATGTCTAGGGACACTGGTTTAGAATCAATGTACTAGTCCATGAGTGGCTGTTCTCAATCTTTAGCCACAGAAACTCGTTTTGTCACCATGATTTTACAGGTATGACCATCTTTCCCCCAGCCATAATAGGGAGCAGGGTGGTGAAAAGTGAGTTAGATGTGGGATTCTGCCCTGGCTGTGCTCTGTCCTATTTGTATGACCTCAGATAGGCTGTCTGCTCTCTCAGAGCCTCTGCTTCCTTATCTGTTAAGTGAAGGTCCTAATTGCTACTCCATCATGGGACTGGTGAGAGAATTAACTGATGAGAGAACGTATGTGGAAACACGGCAGAGAGCCTGACATGAGAGTGATCAGAAAACTGCTGTTGGATGGTAGTGGTGGTGGCCTTTTTTTTTTTTTTCTATTTTTCAGCTCAAAGCAGGGTCTTCTAGTTACTGAGTACTTTTCAACAGTTTTCTTTACTTCAGGCACAAGTGAACTTGTTTTCATAATAATGATAGGGACCCTGTCCATGACCACCTGGTCTTCCCTCTGCAGGTCGGCCCTAGCTTTCCTATCACTGCCTCCTGTTTGTTTACTTCCAAACACTTGCAGATGTAGAATTCTATATTGATTATTTTACTTCTTAATCATCTGTCAACTCCACTAAATTACAAGCTCTCTGGGGCTAGGAACTGGTAACTTTTGTTCACCAGGGCACCCTCAGGACTAACCAAGTCCCTGTACATAATAGGGTCTGAGCCAATAATTGTGGTTGAACAAGCTGATTAGTTAGCAGAGAAATGTGTGAATGATCCACGACTCAGGGCCATCTCTACTTGGGGTCAAACACTGCAAAACACTTACCACCCGCATCTTTAACCTCGTGCTTACTTCCCCACGTGTCGAACCAGCCGACCCAATATTCCATAATCATAATGGGCTTATCCCTCTAGAAACAAACCAAATCAAATGCTAAGTCTGACAAAAAGAAAAACTGAATACAACACATGGAGATTTGAGGAACTCATGCTTTTCACCTTTTCCCAATTCGGCACTTACCTCCCCCCATTCCCCTCACCCGCTGCACCTTTGCCACCATCCACAGCTTTGTTTCTCCCACTGTTCCTCGGCACTCGTGATCTCCAGGATCATTCTTGCTTTATGTGCCTTCCTGCTATACCTGGATAGCATCATCAATAATCCCAGCCTTGTCACATGTGAGGCTGATGTTGAAAGAATCAGTTTTGGATATACAAGGACCTGACTGCAACTCCTCCCATAGAAACTGAGGCTCAGAGGTCACGCTGATGGTTGTGGCAGAGCCACAATTCAAATCCAGGCCCCACCTGAAATATCAGCCACTAAGTTACGTTGTCTATTAAGTGCATTGTTCATTTCCTCTATACCTTTATTTAATTTTATTCTCCCTCATCTATGTTGAAATGTCCAGTGTAATTCTGTTTCTATTCATTTCTTTTTTATTTCTAACAGTTGTTACTTTGTATATTTTGGTTAATAAACAATTATATATATAAGAATCATAAATGTCTTTATGGATTATACCTTTTACTAATGATTATTGAATTCTCACTATGTGCTGAGCACTATCTGAAGTACTTTACTTAATTTGTTCTGTGTGACAACCTATAAGGAAGATACTGTCAGTCGCTATTTTACACAAGAAGAAATTGAGGTTAGGTAACCGATCCAAGTTCACTCAGCGAGGAAATGCTAGAGCTGGCATTTGAACTCAGCCAGCCTGGCTCCAGAACCCCATTCTTAACCATTACACTATATTGTCTCTGGATTGTAAAGGACTTACTATCCAAAACTAGAAGAAAATATATCAAAGCAATTCCATTTTCCAAAACTTCTAAACTAACTCTCACCTAAAACGACAGGTATCTCTTTTAACATTCATATTCTTGGTGCCTAACCTGTCAGATGCCACAGGCTTTCAGCCTGATACCTGTATTCCACATCTAGCCTAACATTTTCAAGGCTGCTGAAGAATGTAGGTTCTGTTTTTAAAAGTTGACATCTTCTTCACAGCAGAACTACCTAATTGTTGTGCCATTTGTATTAAAATGGAAAATTATGGCTGGGCTTCTCTTGGAGAATATGTCAGGCATTCATACTGTGCATTCTCAATTGCGTTCCTGGAGTCCTCCAGCATCCTGCTGTAATAAAAAATGATCATACTGTAAACCTGAAGACCTGCCATCCTAGGACTTAGCTGATCCCTTGGGGGTGGATACAATGTTTTCTGGATTTCATGTGTTCTTCTATCTTGGTTTAATTCCTCATTTCCTGCATCCTCCAAACACTTCCATAGAAAGGGTAATGGAAAATAATTATTCTGAGTCATTAAGTACCTAAAGATATCTTTTTTATCAATACAGTTGCTTAAGATTTAGGCTGGGTATAAAATTCTAAGTTGAAATTCAAATATCCTCAGAATTTTAAAGGCATGTTCCATTGCTTTCTATCATCCAATGTTGATATTTTAAAAGCCTATACATTTGATTCTTGTTAGTTGATATGTAAGCCCATGGTTTTCCTATGATGTTAATTTTACAGTGAGGGTGTTTTTATCATTTATTGTGCTTACCATTTGAGGGGCAACTTTAAATCTAGAGATACATATCCTTCAGTTAAAGGAAATTTTCTTATTTTAGTTATCTGTAATTTCCTTTCTTCTGTGTTCTTTGCCCTCTCTTTTTGTAGCTATTATTGGCAAGATGTTAGGCAACCTAAATTGATCTTCTAAGACATTTACATGTCTCTTATACTTTATTTATTGTTGACTTGTACTACTTCTAGGAAATTTCCTCAACTGTACTTTCCAACTCTTATATTTAATTTCTAATTTCAAATATTAGATTTTCATTTCAAGGAGTGCTTTTTGGTTCTCTGATTATCCCTTTTTTCTAATGTCTTACTCTTGTCTCATGCATAAATAATCTTATCCATATCTCTATGCATATTAATAAGCATTTTCAAAATCATATTGTGTTTCCTGAATTAACTCTATATTCCCTGGTTTCCATTTTCTTCTTTATTGGTAGTGTAATTATATTTTCACTAGGAACTTTTACTAAATAAATATAAATCCTTGATTTTTTCCATTTGTATTTAAGGGGAAAGACTGACTTCTGGTGTTAATGTGGCACTGTGTTATTGGTCCACTTAACAGTCTCCTCTTGGAAATTCTCAAAACCAAAACCAAGAATGAGAAATGAAACACAAATAATATCTTCCATAAATCTAAGAGACATCTGAAACTTCAAAATATAAATTAGGAGAAAAGAGTGCCAACGCATTGAACGTCTATCAACGATTCAAAAATGCAGAGAGAGGGCTGGTCCCGTGGCCGAGTGGTTAAGTTCACGAGCTCTGCTGCAGGCAGCGAAGTGTTTCGTTGGTTCGAATCCTGGGTGCGGACATGGCACTGCTCATCAGGCCACGCTGAGGCAGCGTCCCACATGCCACAACTAGAAGGACCCACAATGAAGAATATACAACTTTGTACCGGGGGGCTTTGGGGAGAAAAAGGAAAAAATAAAATCTTTAAAAAAAAATGCAGAGAGAAGATGCTCTTGGTTGAAGATTTTAGGAAAGGGTAGCAGTACAGATTTCCTCTAAGAAAGAAGAATATTCTACACTGTAATACCAATAATTTCTTATTTTTGATTACAGAATGGGGTGCACAAGCTGGTAAAAGGAGTACACTTTGCATAATTCAATGTATCAGAATCTTGGAAAGAAGTAATTTGAAGAATCACAGGAGAAAACTATTAGCAGGAAGAAGTCTGCTTGTGAGGCATCTGAGAGCAGTCCTGTAATCTCAGCTGGCTCCCTGGGAGAGCAGGGAATGGGAAAAGGAAGGTAGGTAAAAGGAAGGATTCATCCCTGCATACAATGTGCCATAAGATACATTGTTAGCCTGGATGCAGTCAAATACTCTTCTCACCCACAGTTCTCTTAAGTACTTGAGCCCACAAGAGAAGCCAATTACTACTCAAGTCAAAGATGAGTAGTAATAAAAAAGGAATGAAAAACAGAATCTATTTTTAAAATTTACAACAAAAAGGGGGGAAAACAGGAAAAGAAATTACAAAGGAGAAACAGCAAAAACTTGCCCTAGAACAGGTCAAAATTTTGGTAAAAATATTTTAAAGTTAAAAATCTCAATGAAACAATCACCTCTATAAATTTAGAACATAAAATAGAACTAAAATTATTCAAGAAGACTGATATGATAAAATACATAAGGAGCTAAAATATAACCTGGCAGATTTATTTTTTTAAAAGTAGATACAATAGAAAATATTAAGTCAAAACTGGAAGCAGATAAAAGGAAAATAAACACTGTAAAGGATATGAAAAGAAAGGTAGTGAAAGGTGAACAAAATTAAGTGGAAATAAACATAGAGTAGAAAAGATTAGAGAGAAATGGATGAGGGAGATGTGGAAGACAGACAAAATAATTTTGCACTACACATAACTTATGTCCCTGAAGAGAAAATTTTTAAAACAAATTTTTTAAAAAAATACTAAAAGATATAATAAAAAACTTACAATTTCCAATAATGATGATTTATGTTATTTGGATCAACCTTCTCACCAAGGACAAGAAAAGATGTTGGATAAAATACAATATCATCTTAGCTATAGCTGAGAAGAGAATTAATGCATGTGAATATAGATCAGAAGAAAGTAGAGAAAAAATACACAAACTAATTACAGATATTGAGCACACATGAGAAGGTCTAACATAAATTTACTTGGAATCCTAGAAGGAAAGGAATGAGACAACAGGGCAGGAGCAATATTTGAAGAGATACTAGCTGAGAATACACACATTCAAGAAGCCAAACAGATCGCAAGAATAATAAATAAAAGATATTCACACATAGACAGATTATACTCCAACTGCAAAAACCAAAATGAAAATAATTCTTAATAGCAGACAAAAGCAAAAAACATTACTTGCAAGGGAGTTAGCCTGAGAGTAGAATTCTCAAAAGCAACAATGAAGTTAGCAGACTTCATGCTGAAAGAAAACCACCACCAAATTAGAATTCCAGAGACAGTGAAAGACTGAGGTGAAAAAAAAAAAAAACAGTTTGCTATAACTAGATATCACTAAAGGAATTTCTAAAGGATACACTTCAAGCAGAAGAAAAATCATCCTAAATAGACTCTCTGGGATATAAGAAATAAAGAACAAAAAATGGTAAATATTGGGCTAAAACTGAACAAATACTGATTACATAAAATAAATATAATAACATTTTTTAGAGTTTTCCAAAAATAGAAGTCAAATGCAAGAGTGAAATAGAATGTGTGTCTTTAGGGGTAAATGGAGTCAGTGTTCCATGATACTTAAATACTCCAGGTAGAGTGCAAAGATATTGCTTAACTTTAGATTGTGGTAGGTTAAGCACTTACATCAAAATTTCAAGGACAGTCTTTAAAAGATAAAAATAGAGTTTACAGTTCCCATAGTGGTATGATCAAACACAGAAAGTGATTTTTTAAAATAACCAAATCCACAAGAAGAAGCCCAGATTCTAAAGGAAAATACAAAAAGAAGGCAGACAATAAGACGATAGATTTAAATTCAATATATATCAATAATTACATTAAATATAAATGACTAAGTGCTCCAAATAAAAGATTGTGTCAGACTGAGATAAAAAATATTCAACTAATTTCTGTTTATAAGAGACATGTATACAAAATTATGGTAAAATTAAAATGATGACACAAAAAATGATATGCCACTTAAATATTAAACAAAGAAATCTAGTGTGGAAATATCAATAACAGACAAAACTGATTTTAAGATAAAAATAAATACTACACATAATAGAAGTAAACTGTGACATCAAAAACATAAAATATGGGTGGGATAGTAAAAATGTAGAGCTTTAGAATGTGCTT